CCGCCCCCCGCCCGCGGCCGCGCTCCGCTCTCTCCGGAGCAGTTCGTGGCTGGCGCCGGGGGGGGGCCGGCCGACTACGAGAGCCTGTCGCTGGAGCTCTTCATGCTGGGCTATTTCCGCATCCTGGAGCAGGAGCTGCCCCCCGAGGAGCGCCGCGGCCGCCACCTCCTTTGCTTCGAGGTCTTCGAGCAGCTGGGCCGGCACGGCTGGCGGGCGGGCCGCTCCTTCCACCGCGCCGTCATCGACGAGATCGCCGCCGGCCGGCGGGGCTGGCGGGACGGCTTCGACGACATCAAAGAGAGGTATTTCGGATCCCCCAAAAGCTCGGCCCGGCGGCGGGGGGAGGCCGGAGGAGAGGGGGAGGAGATCTGCCGCTACATCGACCGCAGCTTCGCCTTCTGGAAGGAGAAGGAAGCCGAGATCTTCAGCTTGGAGGAGTGATGCCCGCTGGCGGGGGGGGCGGAGGGCTCCGCGACGGCGCGCGCTGCAATAAACGCCTTTCTGGCTCTGTCTCAGCTGAGCGAGGCTTCCCGGGGCGACGGAGAAAGCTTTTTGGGCGGAGGACCTCGACCTCCCCCCAACCCCCCGGGATCGGTGTCTCGGCCCCCAGGCTTCCCGCGGCGAGGCGCCTGTCACCATTTGTTTGTGTCCGCCGAGGAGTGAGATAACGCCCTATATTTAACACTTGGCATTGGCAGCCACAGCCGGGGAAAGGAGAGGCGTCGCGGGGACCCCTGGCTACCGATGGGGTGGAGAGGGGGGGATGCTAGGGGGAGCCTTTTCCCCCCCCAGGCTCGCAGTGCCCGGCTGGCCGCGGAGGGATGCTTTCCAAAAAGCGGCAAAGCCGCGGAGTGACGGGGATGGGCAGCTCCGCCCGTACGGTGCCTTTAAGAACAGGGAGCGGGGTTTTGGTGCTGTCTAAAAATAGCGTGTCCCTCCCCGTCTGGGCTGGATCCCGTGTCACGCCGTGGGGTCCCTCCCCAGAGCCGGGAGTACGGCGGGCCGGCCGGAGGGCTGCGGACCCCAGGTGAGAGCGAGCGGGAGTGGGACTCAGCCGGGCCCCAGAACGACTGCCACCCTTCTAACCCCCGCAAAAAAACCCCCCGTGGGTGGCAGCCCCAGCGGGGCAGCTCGGGGTGTGGGGAGGAGAAATCACAGCCACGGATGGGAGTCTGTGGGGGGGTGGTTCCAGGGAGCACTTCTGCCCCTGCTTCTGCCTGTAAATCAGGCGCTGGGACGGTGTGGAGGTAGGAGTGCTGGGGGTGGGAGGGAGGTAAAGAGAAGGAGATGTCATCACCTTTTCCTGGCAGGGACAGCCTCACCGCACTCTGCTTGGGCTTTGTCTGCTGACAAGGCCCCGCGGCCGCTCCCAGCACCATGGTGAGAAACATGGACGACTTTGACTTCTGCCTGCCTTCACATGCCCAGGGTGTGCTGGAGGGGCTGCAGAGGCTGCGCGCCAACCCCAAACTGGCGGACGTGACGCTGGTGGCAGGCGGTCAGGAGTTCCCCTGCCACCGCGGCGTGCTGGCTCTCTGCAGCCACTACTTCCATGCTATGTTCTCTGGTGACTTCGCCGAGAGCATCGCGGCGCGGGTGGAGCTGAAGGAGGTGGACCCCAGCACACTGGAGATGCTGCTCAACTTTGCTTACACAGGGAAGGTCACCATCAACCAGGGCAACGTGGAGGGACTGATGCGGACCTCCAGCCAGCTCCACTTCCCCACTATCCAGAAGGTTTGCAGCCGCTACCTCCGGCAGCAGATGGATGCCACCAACTGCCTAGGTATCTGCGAGTTCGGCGAGAGCCATGGCTGTCCTGAGGTCTCCTCCAAGGCCTGGTCTTTCTTGCAGGAGAACTTTGAAGCTGTCTCTCGGCAGGAGGAGTTCCTCCAGCTCTCCAAGGAGAGGCTGGCCATCTACCTTTCCAATGACCAGCTGCAGGTACAGGAGGAGCAGAGCCTGGCTGAGGCTGTGCTGCGCTGGGTACGCCACGACCCAGGGACCCGAGCCCAGTTCCTGCCCGAGCTGCTGGAGCTAGCCCACCTTGTCTCGCTGCCTGACCAGTACCTGCAGAACCTGCTTTCCACTGAGCCCCTCGTACGTGACTCAGATGCCAGCAAGGCCCTTGTTGCCCGATCCCGTGCCACGGTGGGTACCCCTTGCCTAGCCCCCAAACCAGGAAGGAGGCTCAGCTCAGAGCCTGACGGTCCTGCCCTGGCCTCTCTGTCAGGGACAGAGCGATGCTGGTGCCTGGAAGAACTCCCCGACCCTACCGCAGAAGCTGGAGGAGGTGCTGGTGGTGGTTGGCGGCCGTGTGCTGGAGGAGAGTGAGGATGAGGACGGAGGACTGGAGATGCCAGCTGCCCCCAGGAACTTTGCCTTCTACAACCCCAAAACCAGTAAGTGCCCACAGCAGGGATGGGGCAAGCGCACATCTCTTGCATGTTAATTAGCATTCCATCTACCCCAGAGCCGCCTCTTGCCAAACACCCTGCTGGTGTCAGGAGGGGCACTGGGGTGGAGGGAAGAGTGTAACAGGCTTAAAAGCATCACTGCTGGCTGGAGGTGGTTATCACTTGGCTCTGGTGGGTTTAGTATGAGGAAGAAGAGGCTGAGGGGAGACCTCATCACTCTCTACAACTCCTTGAAAGGACACTGTAGAGAGGTTGGTGCTGGTCTCTTCTCACAGGTAATTAACAATAGAACGAGAGGGAACAGCTTCAAGCTCCAACAGGGTAGGTTTAGATTGAACATTAGGAAGGAATTTTTCACAGAAAGAGTGGTCGGGCATTGGAACAGGCTGCCCAGGGAGGTGGTTGGGTCACCATCCCTGGATGTGTTTAAGGGACGTTTAGATGCGGTACTGAGGGACATGGTGTAGGGGAGGACTTTGTAGAGTAGGGTAGATGGTTGGACTCGATGATCCCAAGGGTCTCTTCCAACCTGAATGATTCTATGATTCTATGATTCTATGATTCTATGATTCAGGGCGATGGATGGCTCTGCCTGACTTTCCTGATTACAACAAATGGGGCTTTTCCCTGGTGTCTCTGAACAACGACGTGTATGTCACAGGTAGGTGCCAGGGCTGCTGGTGCAGGGTGCGGGTCCCCAAGGGCCGGGGGTGGAGGACGGGAGACAAAGATGTGGGCATAGGGCACTGGTGTGGGGCCAGGTGCTGCCCTCCTCTGTGAGCAAAGCCCTCTCCTTGCTGCCCTCTTTGGTGGGTCGGGCCACTGGTGAGGGATGGCTGCTCTCCGAGGCGGTGGCCCACCTGACCTGTCCCTCCCCAGGCGGCTCCCGGGGGTCCCGGAACGACACATGGTCGACAACCCAGGCCTGGCGCTTCTGCCCCAAGGACGGCGCCTGGAAGCCCATCGCTTCCATGCTGAGAGCCCGGACAAATCACACCAGCGCTGTTCTCAATGGCGAGATCTACGTTATCGGGGGTAAGCTGCGAAGGCCGCACAGGCGCTGCTGGGGCCAGGGTACCTGAGTGCCCCAGAGCAGCAGGGTGGCTGCAGCATCCCCACTGCCCTGCAGGGACAACAGTAGACATGGTGGAGGTGGAGTGCTACGACCCCTACAACAAGAGCTGGTGCGCCATCAGCCCAGCCCTCAAGTACGTGAGCAATTTTGCGGCCGCCAGCTGCTTGGGCAAGCTCTACCTGGTGGGCTCCTGTGCTGTCAAGTACAACGCACTTACCCTGCAGTGCTACAATCCTGTCCAAGGTGAGAGCTGGCCCTGCCGCTGTGCCCCCCCCACCAATGCCTTCCTGGGGAGCAGGACTGAGGGGGACCCCTCGACAGGCAACATCCTGTGCTGCCAGGCAGGGTCTCACAGGATGTGACCAGGGGCAGCCAGGGTCTGGTGACAGCTGGAGCACGGGGCCAGGAGCACAGCCGCTGGCAGCACAGACCTGAGCCGCAGACCTGTTTAGAAAGGCCTGCAGTGACAGGACGAGGGGCAATGGCTTCAAGCTGGAGGGGAACAGATTTAGACTGGAGATGAGGAGAGGGTTCTTCACTGTGAGGGTGGTGGAGCACTGGGACAGGTTGCCCAGGGAGGTGGTTGAGGCCCCATCCCCGGAGATATTCAAGGAGAGGCTCGACGAGGCCCTGGGCAACCTGGTCTAGTTGGGGGTGTCCCTGCTGACTGCGGGGGGGTCGGACTAGATGGCCTTTGGAGGTCCCTTCCGGCCTGGACAACTCTATGACTCTATGACTCTATGACCTCCAGCACGGCCCGGCACTGCGCTGCGGTGGGATGGGATCCCGGGGCAGACAGGTTGGGGAGGCTGCATACATACCTCAGCGGGAAACTGAACCTCTACGACGATGCCACCTCCTTGGGCAGCCTCTGTAAAGCCTGTGGTAGCCTCCTCCATTCCACACCACCACTACGAACAATATCCCCTCCACACTGTTTTATGCAAGGGCCTTGTCTGGGATAGGGACCCATTACCACCCTGTGTCACTGCTCTGTCCCCTCCCTTTCAAACTTCCCCTTAAATAGCCACGGGCTTGGCAATGCTTTTTTTGGTCACTGGCAGCTGCATCAAGAGCCAAGGGTGGGACGTGCTGCTGATGGCTGCTCCTTGCAGATCTGTGGAGCGTGATCACGTCCCCCTTCATACCCAAGTACCTCTCGGCCCCGCGCTGTGCCACCCTGCATGGCCTCATCTACCTCATCGGGGACAACACCAAGAAGGTCCACGTGTACAACCCAGAGGCCAACATCTGGCAGAAGGTAGTGGGTTGTGGGGCCAGGCACAATCGCCCTCCTGGGGAGGTGGAGCAGCTGCTCTCTCCCTACCAGGACCCCACAATCATACACGCACACTCTCCTTACCTGCTCTCCCTTAGCACTATTAACCCCTGCGGGGCTGAATGCCCCAATGCTTCCTTTCCAGCTCCCCCATCACCTCCCCAACCAGAAGCACAGCTTTTGCCCTGAGTTACTGATTTTAAGCAGTGTTCACACTGCAGAAACCCCACTTATTCCAGCATCACCTTCCCATGGTGTTTGCAGGGCTGCTTCGTGTACAGCAAAATCTTGCCTGTCCACCCACTCCCCACCCCCTCCCAGGCTCCCCACAGCACCCCAAACCTCACTCCCATGCAACATGAGGATGCTGCTAAAAGCAAGACATGACCCCAGGGGCCCCCAAACCTCACAGAGATGATGGGGCATGGAGATGTGCTTGCTTGGTCAATGTCCTGGGGGTTGGGATGTGGTCCCTGCACATCTTACCCTGCCACTCACACAGGTACAGCTCCTGCACACACTCCATGAGAATGGTGGAATGGTGCCGCTGGGGGATCGGCTCTTTGTCACTGGCGGCCACTGGAAGGGTATGGATGGGGACTACCGGGTGGAGATGGAAGTGTATGACTGCACCAAGGACCTCTGGACACGGGAGGGCTCCCTGCCCTGCCTCTGGCTCTTCCACAGTTCCTCCTCTATCTTCATGGACACCTCCAAGTGGACAGAGGCTTTCCAGGGTGACCATGGGTGGTAGGATGGCCCAAAGCATCGCCTGCCACCCTGTGCAGCAGCTCTCCCCCTCTCGCCTCTCTCCCTGCTCCTGGCTGAGCTCTGCAGGGGGAAAAATGGAAACGCCTCTGCAAGGCTGAGTGGGGCATTGGGAGCATGTCTCATCCCTGTCCCCCCTTCCCCCCAACAAAGGGAAAAGCCTTTTCCTTATAAACACGCTTTGGCTAACATTCTCTTTTAGTTTGTTTGGTTTTTTTTTTAACAACTGCCTTTTTCCCACTCCAAAACCCCAAAGATTTTAGGGTGCTTTGAAGCCTCCCAAAGTGTGGCCCGTACCACCAGAGACTGGCCTTGTTGCCTGATGGTCGTGGTCCCTTTCCCTATCATGTTGACATCCAGCATGGGGAAACACAACGGGAGCTAGGAGTCTCTTTCTCAACACCGAAAGAAAGCTTTCTGGCACCTCACTGGCCCACACTGAAGTGTCAGACCTGCTCCAGCACCCTCTGTAGCAGAATGACGGGAGATAAACCAGCTTTTGGATGCTTTATTTCCTCGGGTGGCATGGTGGCCTGTGGCAGGATGTTTCATCCTGGTTTCTCTCCCTGGGAAGTGACCTGAGGATCCCGGTGAAGCAGCTAACACCTCAGTGGCTCCTGGTGCCAGGACAGAACCAGACTGTGCCTCCTGTCCCTCATCGCTGCTGGTGGCAGAGGATGCCATGGGATGGGGTGAATACAAGGCGACACTTCCCTGACAGTCGGTCCTAGTGTCAGGCTGGGATGTCGTAGCTCTGCCAGGATCTGTTCTAAGGTTTTTTTTATTCTTTGTGAAGCATTAAACGTACACTGAGCACCTCTGCTACGAGGACAGGCTGAGGGAGCTGGGGTTGTTCAGCCTGAAGAAGAGGAGGCTCCGGGGAGACCTAATAGCAGCCTTCCAGTACCTGAAGGGAGCCTACAGGAAGGCTGGGGAGAGCCTGTTTACAAAGGCCTGCAGTGACAGGACGAGGGGCAATGGCTTCAAGCTGGAGGGGAACAGATTTAGACTGGAGGACAACTCTATGACTCTATGATTGACTCTGTAAGGGGGGAAGCTGCCCGGGTTAGGGGCGGAGAGTGCCCCACTCTTGCTCCCCACGGGGTTTTACACAGGCGGGTCCCCGCGGCAGCAGCGCTGTCCACGCCGGGCGGGGGCGGGGGGGGGCCC